CATTCACAAAGACTATCCAAAGACATTTTGGTTATTGTCAAATAGACACTCTGATTACAGACTGAGGAGGTTGTGGTGTTACAACCCCAGGACTGAGAAAAAAGACTCTTTACACATATTCACTTGTCTCCTGGTTAGGAGAAGTGACTATTGATGGAAATATTTTCCTTCTTCTTGTCTTTGTTTACATTGTATCCCAGAGAAGTTTTAAGTTGTTCAGGTTGAAACATTTGCACTTAAAGTCTGTTAAGTTTCCTTTGATGTATCAGTGTCAAGCTGATGTTTAAGAGGGTATGTTAAGGACAGATGTGCTCCAGTCCATCAATCCTTTAAAGTGCTGGACACCAATGGTAAATTGCCATCAGACCCTAAATAAATTGTCCTCTGCTGTTATCCATATTGTTTCACTCATTCTTTTGTGAGTAGACGTATTGGTTACACTTGCAAGTTAATTTTTTTTAACTGCAAAGAACCCTGACAATATCGTGCTTTAATTATTTAACATTGTATGGTATTCCTATTTACTTCTCAATTAATATGCATGTTAACAGATGTATATAGTTATTACTTTATGATATTGTTGGAGTGCCCGATTTAAAAAAAAAAATGACAAAAGATAGATTTCTCACAAAATTAAAAGACTTTATTGCAATTTAAAAGTTAGATAGTTATGTAGGATCTGGCTCCTACAGTCAATCTATAACTACTTACCCTTTTAAAATTTTATTTGAAGGTGAGATTACCCAAAAAGGCTTTGATAACAACGTGAAAAAGCTCCTGACAGCAGAAAAATCAGGTAGGTTTTGATACTTTTGAACAACATGTAAAATAATCTCCTTTATTTAACATGATATGCTTAGCAGCTTATGATTGACTAACCACTTTATTAATACATGCAATACATTTTGAAAGCAGATGACTGTGCAGTAGTCTGTGATTGTAGTAGAATTCTATAAACCACGTTTCACATCAATGCCCTATTTATATTGCAGATGACACTACTTCAACACGTGGCAATGAATTTCTCAGTAAGAAAACCCCAGTTATTTTGCTTTAAGATCACTTGTAATATAGAACTTGCTGTGGATCAGTTTGATTAACTTTCGGCTTCATCCATTACAGGTGCAGCAGAGGCCTTTGGTAAAGCCAAGAAACTACTACAGCCTCAAGTAAAGAAAAGGCAGTTTCCATTGAATGATAAACGTTTGGACCATGGCAAATCATTATTGAAGGTTAGTTAAAAAGTGAAGCTACGTGTATGACTATCAGCAATATATTAAAAATTAACTTTCTAAAAAGGCATATTTTTTTTTATAAATTTCCCTTTTTTTCCTTGATGCTAGGTCAGACTGGCTCCCATGGAGTGGAAGCCAAGAACTCATAGAAAGTGTGGACGGTACCAGAAGTTAATAATGGACAAAGCTCCACCTCGAATCATTCTGCAAGGCCATGAAACCTATGATGATTTAATTACCATAGGCAAAGAACGCTTCTGGCCAGAGCGTACTGAGGGGAGTGAGTTCACTCTTTGCCATTCTGACAGGACCAGGTGGAGTAAGGAGGAGTTCCACAAAGAATACAGAACTGTTTCTGATATTACACATATGTGGAAAAGAACACTATACATCGGGCGAAGACAACTGGGTAATAAAGTGATCAATATTACTATTAACTACTGTCTAGCACTCGAATTTGTATGGCATGAAATAATTTTACCTTTTGTGCAGAGATCGTGTGTTTGGATGATCAAAGTTCCATCTCAGGTGTGTGCCTGCCCAAACCAAATTGAATATTTTTGATGTTATGATTGAACATGGTACACTCACCATGTTGGGCATTCAGATATATTGCAATTAATGTGTTATTTTACAGATGAAGACCCTGTAACTTAAGTGGGTGGTGATGAAAGTTGCAGTTTAGGTGAATGCCTGGACATCTAACTAAATAATTAAAATTGACTTCTTTTTTTGTTTGCATTACATTTCCAACCTTTACGCACTTGTTTACTATGCTTGGTCATTGCACAGTTACAGTATATAATATGCATCTTATTCTGCAGATGAACTTCCTGAAACCCTCATAGGACAAAGTGTTGCAGAACAGGTAAAACCATGGCTTCATCTTGAGCAGACCAATTAATTTCTTATCATTGTCATAAATGTGGATATTTTCACAGTGCACCCTGCAAAAAGTATATCTTGGCTGAATGTGTTCATAGGATTTCCATCTAGAAACATCCAGCTCAGCTGAATTTGAAACAGGGAGAGTCAGAAAGAAAAGCCAGTCCAAGCAAAGGAAGGAGGAAAATGTAGGGTCATCTCTAGGTCCAGGTGGAGCAGTGAGCCAAGACATGTTACCGCGTGCAGTTATTGAGGCAAAAGAAGCTATGGAAGGAGCTGAAGAGCTATCTGAAGGTGCTGGAAATAGTGGGCTTTTGATAGATTTTGCAGAGTCTTTCAACACAACTCCAAAATCGCCATCATGTAAGCATTCTTTCCCATGTAGGGCTAACATCATATCATCAGACAAAATTGTAAATAAAGGTTTTCATTCTTCACTATTTGGTACTCAAGTTCCTGGGGTAAACCTAGATATTACTGATCCAGCAGTTAATAGAAGAATGATTAGCAGTAGCTGTATGTTACTTTGTGTTTTTTATCCCCAAGTGTATCTTCCACGTGTTCCATATGTGGAAGAGGCTTTAATTACATACAGTGAGGACAATCTACTGGGAGAAGGAACATTTGGCAAGGTATATAGAGGTTCTTTTCATGGTACTCCAGCAGCTGTTAAAAGGATCATGTGTGGCCAACAAGGGATGGAGGACGGTGACATTCATCATGAGATAAATGTTTCACTGTAAGAACTTTGACACACTTTTTTTTTGTTTCATTGTCAAAATCGATTGTTCCTCAAGCTGTAACATAATATGCCTCTATTTTGGTTTTTTTATTCGGACATGTTTCTGTTTTATTAGGAGACTGTCTCACCCCAACATCGTCAGACTCATGGCAGTTGCCCGCACTGAGTCCTGCTTTTTGTTGGCAGCTGAATACATTCATGGCGCAACCCTGCAGCAAGTGCTTCACACAGACAGCTGCTTGGTGAAGGTACCAATACTCATAATTTTATGTTTAATACATTTAGGTAGATGTGAATAATCTTAATATCCTCATATTAAAAAATAACTTTTTATTGCTGGCATTTGTTTAAATATGTACTTGAAACCATCTTTGTGTACAACATATAAAAAGACTGATTACTTTTTTTTTCTCTCATGTTTTCAACCATTTAGAATTACCAAAATGATCTTTAATTGCCAAATGCCAGAAAAGTATGAACTTAATAAAAGAATAATCTTAACTTTTTAATAATAAGCTTCCTTACTGTTTTGGTAGAATTGCTTTTTTTTACTTGTATGAGTTCAGACATTTTAGGTTTTCTTCTACAATATTCTTACAATATTTTTCAGGAATTTTGGTCCAGTCCTCCAGACAGGACTGGTGTAACTGAGTCAGATTTGTTGGCCACCTTGCTCACACACACCATTCACCTATGCTTACAGTTTCGCAAGAGGACTGCAATCAGGGCTTTTTGATGGTCACTTCCAAACATTGACTTTGTTGGTCTTAGGTCCCATTGTAATTTATTGAAATTGCAATTGCATTTGAATACTAATCCTATTTGAAGTAATACATTTCCAGTGGTAGACATGTTAGATTGTCACACCTGGCTACGCATTGTTTTATTAATATTATATATTGTCTTGATAGCTTGAAGGGGATGATGCCGGTTTCATATCACTGGACTTATCCATGGCAGTAGAGTACATCCATGCACAGAGAATCATTCACCAAAAGCCAGCAAATGTCATGGTAAGCCATACTGTATTTTTCTTTTTCTTTACTTTGTTTTTGAAGATCAAAATAAAAATAGTATATTATTTATTTAACTTTATTCTCTTCAGTCTATTAAACACTACATTTGAACAATGAGAAACTGTTCTGGCATATTCACATAAAGGATTTATTTTTTTTGAAGTAAGAAGCCTTACATTGTTTCTTTAATAGTCCATTTTTTCTTTAATATGTTGGTTCTTGCACACCTACAAAATTCCCAAACATGTTGTAATGTTTAGGCTTTACAAACTGAAAGTTTCTATTATTTTATTAGTGTGTACCACTTTCTTAAGTGGAATGGGGATAAAAAAAAATGCACAGGACTATAAAACCGGGTTTGATCATTAACCAATCTGTTAATTTTAATGTTGGGTATAATAAACAATCTCAGAATAAATCTGCAGTGATTGGGTGATCTGGGTGCTAAAAGCTTTGAGGGTTGACAGTTTTGATAACATTTGTGAGATTTTAGACAACCTGGTAAGTTCTTATATATATACCTTATAGGTTCACCACCCTTCTAAGATGGCAGTCCTGACAGACTGGGGCATGGCAAACATAAGAGACACTGTGATGGTTCGTCAAGGGAGTAAGTTCACTGCCCAGGCTATTGGTCCAGCTGGTGGCACATATCTTTACATGGCCCCTGAATGCATACTGATGTTTGAAGAGGCCTCGTTCCAGACAGACATGTGGTCCCTCGGAGCCACATACCTGGAGATCCTGACGGGGTCCGCTCCGTGGATGTTAAAAAACAAAGAGAACTGGCTGCACTAATGGACACCAAAACCCCACCACATGCCCTATCACATCTCAGTGACAAAAACAGTTTTCTTGGTGGTTTGGTGAGCTATGACCCAGACTCAAGGCCTTCCGCATCTGATGTTGTTAAGTTTCTCAAGTCAGGCCTTGATCTTACGAGCCGATATGGCTACAAGTGGTAATGTTGCTACAGTCTGCAGTTCAAAAGTCTTTCAATGTTAATTATATTCTACATTATTGTTAACAAAAGTTGTGGTAAATGAAACACTGAATCATTATGAAAGATCCTTGTGTTACGGATTCAAATATTGGGGATGGATACAAGAGGAAAAACCAAAATAACAACACTGGTCCGGCCGGGTTGAGTCAAACGATGATTTAATGAATACACGCGTGGGAGATGGACACCATACAGCGGACAGCATCAGATCTCAAAATGGTGGAGCCTTGATCAAACTCTTATAGCCTCTAGTGGCCCCCACCTAATAATAAAAGCCTAAACATTCACATTCTTTCTCACACACAGCGCCTAAGCTACGACCTTGGCTCCCTGTTTATCTGCTCCTGCTGAGATGGGGCAGTATGCTCTGTTCTCTTCTAACCAGACGAATAAGGCGATGACTTTCTGTGAACAGTATTTCTTATAACTCAGCAGTATAATGCATCATAAAACAATATCATCCATTCACAATAAATCAGCAGTCTAATGTAATGCAAATCAGTTTACCAAATGTAATAGTTATCACCTTCTTCTAATTCAGGAGAATAATGCAAACTAAAACTACATAATAATTCACAATCTTTAATTAGGGGTCTAACATAGCATAAAATAATATTATAATCTGACACTTGTCAATTGTATTTCAACATTTTATTGTACCTTTTGTTGGTCAGACAGTTTTCAAATTACCTGTTGATTTTAAACAAGGATAAATAAATGTTAACAAACAATGTTGTATGATTTTATTGGTCATTGGAAATGTTTACTGGTTCACCTTCCATCCTCTCTCTCTTCAGAAAGATGTATATGTCATTTGCCTCTGCAAACGTAGAAGGTGTAGGAACTGCATTTCTGTTCATGGCAGTTATGAGCTCTTGGACTAGCATGAGGTATGCAGCAAGGCAACCATCAGGTGTGCAGGGAAACTGGCTGTTTTCTAAAATGTTCTGGCACATGTCTCTGAATTCCTGGTTTGCTACCAGTGAAGGCTCTTCCCTCTCACAGATTAATTGCATGGCGTAGTCGAAAAGGTCTGGGTCAACTATGTGCAGCACATTGCCATATCCTGCGAATGAAAGACAATATTGAAAAGATGTTCACTTTGAATGTTAAAAATAAATGAATAATCACAAAGCCGTTCTAGAACATGTATAATAAGCAGTCAGTGTTTACAGATGTTATTGCAGAAACTTAAAGATGGAAATATCACTCAAACATTTAGATTAACTTTTAGTTAAAGGTGCCAATATGAAGCCATTTTTGTACTGACAGTAGAAATTCAGAAATCTCTTATTGTACTACAAGTAGGCTTCTTAGGAAGACACAAAAAAGAAAGCACATAACAGTTTTACACTCGTTACACTGGCTTCTAGTATATTTTAGAAAATTCATTTTAAAATTTTAGTAATGACTTTCAAAGCTCTGAATTATGAAGCTCCTGCCTTAATTTCTGATCTTATAGAACCATGCTCCCTCTCCCAGCCTGTGATCATCTAATCAATGGCTGTTAGTAGTCCCACCAGAAGACCAGAGGCAATAGATCTTGCAGAGCGGTGGCTCCCAGGTCATGGAATGCTCTGCCTCAATCATTACGTTTCCTTGATTGTATTTATTCTGTATGTTCGATTGTGCTGTTTTATGTTTATCTGTTTTATATTATTGTGAAGCCACTTTGTGGTCTTTATCCTGGAAAGAATGCTATATCAAAGTAAAAGTAAACTAATGAAAGTTAAAAAAAACCCCAAAAACCCACAGGCTTTCAAATGACATACCAGGAGGTGGTGAGGTAAACAGAAGGTCGGGTTTCCCAAATGGACCTGGTGCATTGCGTTGCTTGCGGATGTCATGGGTGTTCCAAACTGTTTGGTCTGTTTTTAAGTCTCTTTGAAGCAGTGGCAAGTGTGAGTACTGCAAGCAGTTGCTATGAAAAAGGAGAACTAAAAAATTGATATGTTCATCTGATTCTTTGAGGTAGAATAAGTAAATGCTAAATTTTAATCAGTACTCAAAAAACAAAAGCATTCCTAGACCACATATTTTCATACTGCTGCTTCATCATTTTTCATGTCTAAAAATATTGACTTACATGTGCACAGGATTGTCCAGTTCAAGGATCCCTGACTCCATCATGGCCTAAGCATGTGGTTTTGAAAAAGACATAAGTTGTGAAGGTGAGAATTTCATTAGTGAAAAGGTACAGATGTACATAAACACAGATTCTGGCCTTGTGTTTTCAGATAAACTAATCCATCGTATGTTTAGCTAAATTTTGATGGCTAGTCTTTGTTAATAGGTTTTACAGGTGAAAGATTTGCTTTACCTCAAATGTTGTCAGCCATTTCTTAATTCATGTCCGCTTTAAAATACTGTTGAAACATTCAGCTCTCTAAACAGAAACATGACATTATCAGTTTTGTTGTCAGATTGTTACTTTAGAAATAGTCATTTACCAGCTTTAAAGACATACCTGGTTGTGCACTGATGTCCCCATTCTGAATCACCTCCATGCCTGATTCCCAAGATCTCGCATGTGAAATGCCATCTGCATTTGACCCACAACAAGGTTCTCCTTTCCTCTGTCCCCCCGAATCATTTGAGGACAGCCTAAAGACACAAACTGAAGATAATTAGTGAATGATGAAAAAATAAATTTATTACCAAAATGTAATCTTTTTTTAACCCCACTTTTTTTAGTATATTGCATACCACCCTGTTCTTGAACAGCCTCAAAGAAGTATCTGGCCACAAAGCTTTGCTTGCGGTTGGATGTGCCCACCTTTAGCCATAGAACCGTCCTGGAAAATCTGAAAAGACAGAAACAGAAAGGTGGCCACTCGTGCATATGATTTAATCATGTTTTGGCACTATGTTTGGTTTTTGTTACATTCCCCAAGAGTATGCTGGTTTTCCATTGTATTCTGTCTAGGCTGTTTCTGGTTCCTCTGGCCATTTTGACTGCCATAGTTGTGTAGGCTTACATGCCTTTGGAATTGAATGTGACTCTTGACTGTGTTCAGACTGACGCGAGGGGAGAGCTGCCTTTTGTTTTGTAATCCCTTGTATTCTCCTGTTTATGTGTTGGTTAGGTAGGTTATCGTAAATTGTACATTTTATTTTCTTTGGAGTTAAATTCTGTTTTCTTTATATCAGGGATGTTTTGTTTGTTGTGTTGGTCTTGGCTCTCCCTGAAATTAACTGCCAGTCTGAAATGGAACTTTAAGACTAGCAGGAAATAAACCTTTTAAAAAC